GGATAATGGAGGTGGGGCATAATTCTGCCGTCTAACCAGGAGAAAACATCCAGCAACAACCTTCTGGTCAAAGCTGAAAACACTTCATTTCTAAAAAAAATAGATCTCTAAAGAGGCCCATCTGAGTCCCTGCAGTGCCCTGCCCTTCTCAGCTGCTGGAAGTGCTGTTAGAGCAGAGCTGTAATGGACACCACTGAGGGAGCTGCTCTCCAATTACTTGCCCATTTGTGCAATCCAAACCCTAGTTTAGTCTCCTGCTCATGAAGGATGCTGGAGTGCTTCATCTCCCAGGGCACCCCTGGGATCCATCTGTGGTACGTGGGGTTGTTGGCTGAGCAGTCTCATCCAAGCTGTCTGGGCTACTCAGCACGGTCTCGTGGCAACCTGTGGCACATCCCCTCTCCCATGGTGCACGGCTTGGCCACGGGGCATCCAGTGCTCAGAGTCCAGAATTGCTACAGGTCATAGAATCCTTTAGGTTGTAAGGGACCTCCAAGATCATCAAGTCCAACCATTGAGCCATTACGGCTCTAAAGTCCTCTGCTAAAACAGATCAGGATCTGTCAGGGTTGGAAGGGACCACAAGGATCCCCCAGTTCCAACCCCTCTGCCATGAGCAGGGACACCTCCCACTAGATCAGGCTGCCCAGAGCCTCCTCCAGCCTGGCCTTAAAGACCCCCAGGGAGGGGGCCTCACCCCCCTCCCTGGGCAACCCATTCCAGGGTCTCACCACTCTCATGGGGAAGAACTTCTTCCTCATGTCCAGCCTGAGGTTAGCTAGTCATGGAATCACAGGATGGTTTGGGTTGGAAGGGACCTTAAAGATCATCCAGTTCCAACCCCTGTGCCGTGGGCAGGGACATATTTTACTTGCTCAAAGCCCCATCCATCTTGACTTTGAATATTCCAGGGCTGAGGCATCTCCCACCTCTCTGGGCAACCCAGGGGCTCACCACCCTCACAGCCCAGAACTTCTTCCTAATATCTAACCTAAATCTATCCAGTTTGAAGCCATCATCCCTCATCCTATCACTATGCTCCCTGGAGCCTTCTCCTCTCAGCTGCCCCAGCCCAACTCTCTCCTGCTGGGCTCCCAGCAGAGGGGTTCCCCCCTCGGGGCATTGCTGGGGCTCCTCTGGCCCCACTCCAGCAGGTCCCTGGACTCCAGAGCTGCCCCAGCACTGCAGGGGGGTCTCACAGAGCTGGCAGAGGGGCAGGATCTTGTGCTCAGGATGCCAGGTGAGGTTCAAGTCCTTCCTAAATTATGGTAGACCAGATGGCCTGATGATGGGGGTACCTCTTGCAGGGCAGTGGAATAGCTCCTCGGGCTCTCCTTGCATTGACTACACCTCCCATGGAAGCTGAGACACCCAGAGAGACCATTTGTTGATGTCAACACCGTAGACAACACATTTTTGTGTCTTAACCTTCAGACTCAACATCTCTTTGGGAAGAAAATGCTTCCCCCTTTTACTTGGGTGCTTAGAAATTTGTGTGACAAGCAGTTGAGCCTCAGCTGGGTTTTTTTCTGGGGTTATTTATGGCTGGAAGTGACATTTCCATAGGGTTGCTCATCCCCTTGAAGAAACTTTAGAGCTGATGAATAAATATCTCAGGGAAGAGAGTCAAGGGGAGTTTGGGGGTGTCCTAAGAATCAAGTGGCTCCTTGGTAGGAGCTGGGACGTGGGTTGGTGGCCCATTACTGCCTCAGTCTTTAGTTTCCAATGCCTCAGGCCCTGTAGGGTTGGTTTTAGGGGGTGATTTGAAGTAGGAACTGGATTTTCTTGTGCTTTGTTACCCCACCATGTGTCCCTGGCTGTGGCACATCAGCTGCTTCCAGGGAAGACTGAACTATGGGCACTCAGGGCTGTAAATCAGCTCTAAAACCCCAAAAACACGAAATCATGGCCTGGCAAGTTGTGTTTTTAGGTCAGAACAGCTCGACACTGGTGGTTTGAACTCGAAATAATCATGATAATAAAATATCCCCAGCAGGATTGTTGTTCCTGATTCATCTCAGGCAGACACAAGCTGTCAGTGGGAGTGGAGGGGGAAGGAGAAATATCTTCCTCAGTGGAAAAGGAGAGAGCTGCTGCAGACAGAGGTTTTATTCACTTTAAACAGCAGAGAGGAAAAAAAATCTCTTAAAAGCC